GGCCTTGATCCTCATGACTCTACGGTCATGAAGCTCGTCAAGCCCATGTACGGTCTTTGTGATGCACCCCGTGCATGGTATGAGGAGGCAGCTGAAAGAATCCTTCGAGCTGGTGCTGACACCATCGTCCGACATCCCTTGGACGCCTGCCTGTTCATGTGTTACGAGCCCACCAAGGAGGAGGTCACTGAAGAGACCGAAAGACCACTGACTGCAGTTTTTGGCATCCACGTTGATGATTTGATTGGTTGTGGTGATTTTGATAGTCCACATTTCAAGTCCTTGGAAAAGCTCCACGGCATCTTCACCTTCCGCGAGTGGCAAGATTCTGATGAGCTGGAATACTGTGGAAGCCAACTCCTTCACAAAGAAGACGTGCTTCGACTTTCCCAAGCATCAAGAAAGTCAAACCAATCTCCATAGCCACAGACCGTGCCAAAACACCAGAGTCACCTGTCACCGATCGTGAACGATCTTTGCTGCGTGGCCTCATTGGCGGACTACAGTGGCCTGCAACACAGACAGCACCACACTTGCAAGTCGGAATATCCATGTTGGCCGGCGAAACCTCAAGAGCAACAATACAGACACTACAACTGGCAAACAAACATTTGCGTTTTGCAAAAGAGTTTGCTGACGTTGGCCTGGATTACCGACACCTTGGCACCAAAGGAGAAATGAACTTCATCGTCTACTCCGACGCCTCCTTTGCTTGCAGAAGTGGCAACAACAGCCAAGGCGGCTACTTGTTGGCCATGTGCCATAAAGATGTGGCAGCTGGACTCTCCGAGGGCTACTATAATGTTTTGGACTGGCGATCTTGGAAGTTGCCCCGAATTGCAAGAAGCACCCTCTCAGCTGAAGCTCAAGCTGCCTGTGATGCCTCCGATGCTTTGATGTTTGCAGTGCAGTTTTGTTTTGGAATCTCATGTGGAAGCCATTCCTACCACTCAATCAAGTTGAAAGTGGACAGCTTCCTCACCAACCACGTCTGGTCATCGATGCAAAAGGATTTTTTTTGATGTCCTCACCAAGGATGAGATCCAAGCTGCGACAAGTGCCGACGAGAGGACCACCATCGAGGCCCTGGTCTGTCAGGACAAGCTTGCCTGTTGCCACGGCAAAACAGCATGGGTCAGCAGTGAACTTCAATATGCTGATGGTTTGACCAAGCAAAGCGGTGCAACCCTCCTGGCCCAAAGGTTGAGATCCTGTATGACACGCCTCCGTTCAGATGAAAGTTTTCAAGCCTCCAAGAAGAAGACTCCACTGGATCGCAAAAGAAACACTGAGCGGTATGCTGTCAAGTGCCCTGAACGAGCTTTAGCTGCTATGATGGCTAGCTGCATGTTCAGGACCACCTACGCCATGAACACCACGAACTCCCTTGAAGAGCCCTTTGATAACACCTTCATGTTTTTGATCCTCTTCACCATGTTCATCGGTGTCTTCATGTGGTTTGCAGTCACCAAGCTGGTGACAAAGGCATGGACAACCTTCAACAGCACATTCACAAAAGCTTCCACTTTAGAAAGCACCACACAAGTCTATGAGTCAGAGTTCATGGACTACACGGACACCTTCACGCAGACAGAGCGACGACAGGACCCATACCAACTCCTGCAGGAGCTGAAAGCCGAGCTCGAGGAGACTCGCCAAAAGGGTCTCCAAGCTGCGAAGGAATGCCGCATTTGGGCGGCTGAGTACGAAAAGTTGAAGAAGAAGAATGTTGAGGACTTCGAGCAGAGACTCAAAGTCGAGAAGCAGCGCAGTTCCTTGAAGCCCATCTACCTGGCTGGACAGGGGTCCTGCTGGCACGCAAGTCGGAAGTGCCTGGCCGGAAGAACCCCCGGTCCCAGCTTCGAGCGGCTCCCACGCTCATGTTGTGCCCACACTTTGTGGGACAAGAGTCAACCCTCTGCACCACCTGGAGGAGCTCACTGGTCCACAACGCATGGCGACCTGCGACCTTTACGCCGAACCTGAGGGATCGCAAGGCTCCAACCCGAACTTTTGATGGCCTGGAACTGTGAGTTTTTTTTACTGTTTCAACAACGTCCTTTCACCACCAGTGTGAGTTTCGTGCCACGAAACATGGAACATGTTTACTGTTTACTGAGTTTGCCGACCGCACGCCTCGAACAAGCTGGGCGGGCGATCGATCCGTACGAGCCATGTCGGCTACCGTTTGGCTGCGAGAAAAGCCGCAGCCGCTGCATAGCAAGAGACTGACACACCCCAAGACTTTGTGCGCTTGGAACCGTGGGAACACACACCACTTGCTCCACCTGCTACCTTTGTTGTGTTCTCACAACAACAACCTTTTCTGGACATGAGAGTGCCGGCCACAAGTCACGACATGTGATGTAGAATTCAACGAACCTCACAGAACAGGTTTGCGGTTTGCTTTGAGTTGCCAACAGTGAACCAACCTTGTATGATCTTGTATGGAAGAATGCGCAATGTGATGTAACTAGCCATCAACCAGTGCTTTGAGGATGATGTCAGCTGCACCCTTTTGTTGTACATGTCGAATCCCTGGAAGCGTAGAAGCCATGAACCCAGATTTGTCCAGATCCATAGTTTTAAACACAGTTCTTCTTTTGTTAATAACATTCATTTACACTAGATGCCAAGGGCCAAGAACTTCTCACACCGAGACTTTACGTTGCACTGATACGACAGCAGGGACTTGTTAACAGATATTCACAATTGCATAAAACAATATATAAATCAATATCATTCAATATCTATAATTAGTAAATATCTATAATATAATATCGATAACATGCATGATGATATAATATATAATAGATAATATATACAATATACAACATATAAGTCTTTAAACATATATTAATACTATATATATGACGTACAATATGATATATATATATATTCACAAAGAAAAACACAATGTTTCTATATGTTTTAAACGCAGTATCATTTGTACACAGATGCAACATGATGCAACTATGCAGACATCTGCTGCCATCCACAGTTCTAGGAGCGCGAATCTCTTCGAGTGAAAATCAGTCACCAACAAATTGGTTGGAGTTACTTCCTGCTTCGTCGAGAAAGTGAGAAACACTGGATCTATCAGGGAAGCTACGCCAGAACAGCCAGAACAGGAGGCTAGCTGCTTTGAGCGCATATCAGGAGCAACTGGCGTTGGAAGGCACGTTCAAATTGAGGCTCAGGAAAAAAAAACAGTGCGCCTGCTCTGGAGGCTTTTTGCTTCCATGACGTGCAAAAACAAGCAAAGCTTGCATTGGCTTGCCCTGATGGCTGCGATCATGCTTGCTGTTTCGTGTGGCTTTCGAAGCCTGTAGAGGATATGGTTATTTTTGCATCCTCATTGTGGCCATTACTGTAGATACATACAGTGTGTATATATATATGTAATCATTCAAGACTAAGACCGTACCCTGCCCTTTCACTCAACGCAGGACACTGGAAAATATGCAGCTGCAGATGATTCCTTTCCCTGTGAGGCAATCAATAAACTGAAACTCACTAGCTGTAAGTTAAGAGTTGAAGCAACGAAGCAGCAGATTTCAAAACGGGTAGATGGATTCGAGGATTCGTATGCGTTGATTTCTGCCAGTCTGTGTGCGAGAAGGGCATCAGTTCGGTGCCAGCAACTGGCAATGGGAACAGCAACGGGCTCCTTCCTCAGAAGTGCAGCGCAAACTGGGATGCCTGCTACATCAGAAGCGCGCTGCATTGGAATGGACTTCCTTCAAGGGTGCACAAAGATGGTGATTCAGCCCGGGCACTGATGGCAAAGTGCCCTGCTTTGCGCATGTTGATCATATGCTCTTGCAAAACCTTGCAAAACCATTAAGGTAAGTCTGCCAACACAGACCTGGAGATTTGGCCAAGTGTTGATGAGATCCTTGAAAGTGCAGATCCTTTGTACTTCAGGTACAAGCAAAACACAGGCAACAATGGTGCATGGCCCAACACAGCTCAATCCGCAAAGCAGCGAAGTGGGTTTATAGGTTGGAGGCCATCACTTGTAGGTCGCTGGCCAACCGTCGGAGGCCATCACTTCTAGTAGACCATGCCAAAGACGCCAAGGTGACGAGGACTCGGACGAGCTTTCGGAGGCACAGACGAGCTCACGCGCTTTGGTAGTTCGTGTTTCAGAGACTCTCTTTGTGCCGTGTGTTCATTTGCAAAAACGCAGTGTTTCATACTTTTTTTACTATTTTTAATTTGTGCGATTTCAATCACTTTGAGTGCGCATTAGCTATGCATTATGCCGTGCGGTGCTAGTGCAGGCTTCTGATGGGGGGCGACGTTTGTGCAAAGAAACCATTTGAGGCTTGTTGCTTGAGCTTACTCAGTCTTCAATTCTTTTGGTCTGCTGCAGTTTTATTCACAAAATGCATTCAGGTAGCTGCATGTGTCATGGGTGGTGGTGTGGTGGCTCCTGGCTTAGCAGCGTAAGCTTTAACTTTCCACGGCGTGAAGTCAAATAAGCTCAGGTTGCTACGGCATACCTTGCATTGACACAGACTTACCTGAATATTGAGTACAGACTGTCAGGCTGAAGTCATCTAGACCGGCAAACTACAACGAACTCCCAGTGATTGATGCCTGCCTTATGCAACAAATTAGGATGGTTGAGCTTCATGCTGCGTATTGTCTACAACGACGATTATATATGCGTGCTGAATATCAAATGTATGTATGTTCCCGGGGTTCCTTCGGTTCAAGACACCAATAGGGCATCATGACAGTTATACGTTAACGAAAGACAATGAAAGGTGGCAGATAGACTCTCTTCAGAGTTTTTTCAACATGTGCAGAACACTGTGAGCAAAGACTCTGCTGACAGTCAAGCATAGTGAACTCACAAACTTGTAGAAATTCAGGAAACTTTAAAGATTCTCCAGATCTTCTCTAGATTCTAGGTGTTTCAGATCCTATAAAAGGCATCTCGGTGTTTTTACTAGTCAAACAATGAGCGCAAAGAGGTAAACAGAGGCGTCAACCTTAGATAGCTGCTTCAGCTTCCTCACTCCAGCGCGTTTGTTGCACAAGAGCACCATGGGGGTTCCCACCTTCTTCAGATACTTGGTTGATTTTGAATGTAGTGTTTGAATGTGTTTGAGTCATGTGCAATTTTCAATTCGTTTCAATCCTGTGTTTGCAATTCAGCATCCTGTCATGGAAACCAAGTGTATCCAAATGCATCTATGTCTAACTGCCAGATGCTCCACGAAGCCGAGGATGGATCTGTGTGAGATATCCAAAGGTCATCCGGGACACCATCGAGCGGGAGCCTGTGGAGATGGATGGTCGTATGGTGCCAGTGGACTTGGACGAAGATGCTGCACCCCAAGTTGGACAATGTGCATTGAGAAGCAAGCATGAAGCATCATTATGAAGCTGTTTGAAGCAATTTAACAAATCTTTCACAAGACACCAAGCGGTGCAATTTGCAATCATTGCTGAGCTGTCAGACCGTCCAGTTTGTGCGTGATTCCAGGCTCCAAATGGTGATTTCGACACCCTCTACTTGGACATGAATGGCAACCTGCCGCAATTGTGTTCACGACATGGTAACAAGCTTGCAGGTGGACGTGCCTGTCCGCAGTTTGCTCTGGATGAGGCATCATTCATCCTTGTTGTCATCCAGAAGATGGCCCTGCACCAGTAGATGAGGAGCACATGTTTCTTGGTCTGTGAATCTTGAGACTATATATTTAATCGTTAATTGGAAGGTGTCGCAGCAGTTTTTTCATATTTCTCATTAACTATTTTTGGCTGGTACGTGAAGCCCTACAAAGTCTGCCAGCTAAGGTATGAAAACATTTTCCTTTATTTGGACCGACTCATCAGAATAGTCAGGCAGCGAAGTTCAAATTCACTGCACCTTGAGATTTGTTCTGGTCAAAGGCCAAAACGACTTGTCTACATGGCGATCGACGGAGTGGCACCTCGTATCTTCCTTGGACAAACCGTGACAGTTGGTGACGTATGTACTGTTATGCAGATTCGCCTTTGGCACATTCTTCCCAATTGATCTTGAAGAAGTTGCAAGATCTTCAAAAAGAGGAAGCGTTGGACAGAAATTCTGCAGTACAAAGAAGTTCACGTTGTCAGTAGTTGTCAAGCCAATGTAGATCAATGGAAGCAGTTTGAGGCGGTACACCGATAGTTGTTTGTGCAACCGGTTCGGAAACTGAACGTGTAGTGATGCGAATTTTGACAATTGCTATGAACCTCAGATTGAACCAGATTTTTTTCGACCCGGTGGCTATGGATGTCGATGTTATGTAGAGACCATGATGATCGGTTTCACAACATGTTCATCAACCTTACAAAGCATGATGAGTTGTTGATGTCATGTGACGACAGAAGATTCTATGGGGGGGTGGGGTCCCGGGGGGCTGGTTTTGTTCGTGTGATGAGGGGAACACGATGGTGATGAGTTGTTGATGTGACGACAGAACACGGAATGTGCACACTGGTGGAATTGATGCAATGTGGACTTTGTGCCGAAATCCCTCTCTTCGAAGTCGGTGCAGATAGACCAGAGGATTCGGTCGTGGCAGTGGCGTTTCATGCGCACAGCTACCCACAACCTGACGGCACGTTGCGCCGAAGAGCTGCCGAAAGAGCTGTGAAGACGCAGGAAAAGAGAGTGCGAGTCTTGCGGCTCCGTTCCTATAGATGTTCCACTGCTCCGGAAACACAACGAGACAACAAATTACCAAAGAACATGTCAACTCTACCGCAAAGCACAAGGCTTTGTAGGGAACGCAGTCAGGCTCCGTGCACTTGTCACACCCCCTGACATGAAACACGTGGGTTTTTATAGGGTTCTTGTGGCCTTGGTGACTTCCTCATGTTAAAAAAATGCACGCAACTACACGCCCCGTCTAGTTTCCGACCAGGAGGGTTGTTCGCGCAGGAGGATACTTTTTGGCTGTAGCGGCTGTTTGTCTCAAGACGGCTGTGTTCAATAGTGTCTTTGTTCCTATGGGCTTGATGTTGTCGAGAGTGAGTGTCAAAGGATGTCAATGACCTTGCGGCCTTGCATTTCAGAAGGTCGTGAAGTTATGTAGTACTGTAGTGCCGCATCGCTTTCGTGCAACGTAATGCCCACATCAACCCAGACTCTTTACAACAAAATCAGCTTGGACTACCTCCAAAAAACCTTGATTTTGTGTTTCATACAAAGAGTTGAGTTGCCAGCCAACGTGGAATCATTGATCACTCAACTCTTATTCCTCCCCCTTGTTTGATCAATCAGTGCCACCCCTTCCCCCTATCCTCTATTGATCGATCATCCTTTGGGAAGGGTAAGAGCTACACTTCCCTTGGCACTTGATGTGGTTTCACATCCTCCTTCAAGCGCAATTCAATTCGTAGCATGTTCATTTGTGCAGCTGTGTGATCCGGAGGATGTCATTTGTTTTTTAGCAGCAAACGGTCTATACAAGCAACCCCGTCACATCAGGTTTGTTTAAGCTCCCATAAGCACAAACCATGTCGCCAGAAAAACTTTGTTGGTATATTGCAGACAAGTTCCCAGTATTACCGAGTCAGTACAAGTTTTGGTACCATGGGCACACATAATATTGGCAGATGTATTTGAGTTACATCCTGCACGAGCCATTCATTGGACTTAGCTGGTTAATCCAATCAGGTGCCAAGATGAATCAGCAGCGGGCTCGTCGCTTCAGGGCTGCACAGGTCCTCTCTCGTTTCTTGAATAATAGCAATTCCTCCAACCTACTAGTGATGGCCTCCATTCTATTAGCGATGGCCTTCATCCTACTAGCGACATCTAGCGATGGCCTCCAACCTAATGATGCTTTTGCATGCTTTTGCAGCAGCCCAGGTAACTGTTCATCCATTTTTTGAAAGGAACGTGTTGGATTGTGAAGGAGCGAGAAGAGATGGAACGCGAGCAAGAAAAACTTCGGCAAGACTGGGAGGCATCGGGCTTGATACTTTCCAAGGAAAAATCTGGAATGCCCCTGAATGCAGGCGGAAGGTCGTACCTTACCCAATCGAACTTCAGGCAAAGTGTTTGACTCTAACGTTGCTGGCTCAGCATGTTTGAAGCTTGAATGATGGCGAAACATTGCCGAAATAGATTGGCTTGGCTGTGCACAGGTCATTACACCTGGAACCAACTTCTTGCACAAGATGTCGGAGGTGAAAGCAGCAAGCAAGCCTTTACAGTGCATTGTTTTGCATTCACGCAAGTGTTGCCCGCAGGCAATCCGATACTATATCCATGATCGTGCAAGACTTATTGCCATGCAAGTGAAGCAGATAGATGTCGACAAGAAATCTCACATGTGGGCTTCGGCATGCCAGGTACAACGAATGATCCTCTTTGGCAAAAGCTAAAGTTTCGAGTCATTCTTTCTGATGCTCCTGGGATGAACCAATGTAGTGACGAGCTCTTGCTTCTCGGTCTTGAATGGAACTGAGGCAAACGTTCCTAGAGCCTTTCTTGCAAATAGAGACGCAGAGACGCATTTCATACACATCCCCACATATCCCCTCAGTTTTGTATTACTAAGTGTTTGCTGTAAGGTGAGGGTGAGCACAAGATCATGCAGTTCATTCGATTGCAGCGTTCACAGCCAGACTATGATCCAAACACCAGGCTTCTCTTGATTTTGGACACCTGTCAAGTCAAGAGTCCAGAACAGGATTGAAAGTTGCAACTGGATTCAAATGCACAACGTTAAGATTGTTTTGAATGAGGTATGAAGAATGCAAGGCCAGAGTACCAACATGTTTGAACTCACTTCACTTTGGAAGGCACTGTCTATATGGAGCTGATGCAGACCTCATAATGCTTGGATTGGCCACTCATGAGGTGCACCACCCTTTGCTTGGACATGGCTGTGTCAGAAACGTATACATTCACTTTTTTTGAGATGGTGCGACGCGAAAACCTGCAAATCTGAAAAGTGCAAAAATGCGCTCCGGGCTTGCTATACATCTAAAATAAGTGCTAATTATATATATAACTATATATTAAATATATACCACTGTCTTACCATTGTTTGACTGTAAGCTGTCCAATTGGTTGTTGTTTTCTGCCAAGACATTTGTCTAAGTGCCATGAATGAAGTTCCAACTGCACCACATCGCAGCATTGACAGAGTCGTCGAGGATGATGAGAGAAATAAAAGTGTTCGAATAGATACCGTATACTACGTCCTTCTAGGGAACAGCAGGTAGTTTTGTATTGGGATCATACGCTTAGTGAAAATCACCGTGCCTGGGCTGGAGAACCAACCATGTCATGTATGCAATATGCATCAATATGCCGTGCACGCCGACTCCGAGTCATGCTAGTGGACACCTTCGTTCAATGTGATTGAATATTAAACTGAAAATGTCGTGCCACTGCTCAACCTATGAAGTCAGAAGCCCTGCAAAAACAACAAAAGCTAATTTTTGTGCTTCTGTCCCACACAAACCACACGAAAGCACAAAAATTGGAAAAATTGAAACGTCAAACACATATTTTCGCGCTTATGCCCCCGGACGCGAAGAATCTAACACTTTAAAAAGTCAGTGATTGTATAGAGTTATGTGGAATTTATGAAGGTTGAAATTTGATTTGGCCCTATGGGCCTTGAGATGCCTTGAGTGTTCTTTGCTTGATTTTGCTTGTTGAATTGTACATTTGTAATTTTCATGCGCCACCATGAGGGGGTCGACTTTCCTGGTTTTGAACTTTTGAATTCATTGTGTTTTTCGATGTTGAACATGTCACGCAAAACGATGTCTTAGCATTTAGAAGTTTAGCATTATATATATATATATATTTAGTTAGTTATATATGTCGTCGGAAAGCGGTGAATTTTCGCGCTAGATCCACGCTAGCTCCGCGCTAGATCGCGCTAGCAGAGATTGTACAAATGACAAAATTCCTTTCTGTGAGATTAAAGGTACAATAGATAGTACACATACTTACATAGATCATTTTAGATATGAGAAGAACTTCTTCCATGGCTAGCAGCTACAAGCAGTTGCGCTAGCGCTTTGTGAGACTTGTCGCACTTTTCCACTAAAGATTCCTTTGCAATATGATTCTTACATAGTATTCTTTCTATCACCTGTTCCTTTGAAGGGGCACTAAGGGCGGCACCCAAGAACTTCTGATTTAGCAAGCGAACGAAGTGAGTACAGGGGTGTGGGGACACTGGTCGCAGGGCGGGCCCGGCTGGGTAGGGTGAACCCAGAGCCTGGTGTGGGAGAGCGACAACAAGATGTGGTAGGAAAAGCATCACGAAGGGACTAGTTGGACAATCTTTCGACAAGGGGTGGGAGTTCGGGTAGAGGACAGGAACGGGGGGGACTACGTGATAGGAAATGCAAGGAAAGAGGTTGGGAGCTCACCAAGCTAACCAGGTGCGTCCATCCAGTCAGGGGACAGAAGCGGCGAGATTTGTGGAAGTGAGAATCTTTTTCTGATAGAGATAGTGTTCGGACAACACAGGAGGACTGCATCGTGATATGGGATTTGTGTTCCATTTTACAGCTGCATCGTGATATGGGATCTCCTCTTTCCTCCGTAAAGAGGATACCCCATATTGAGAGGGGCTCACCAGATTGAAGAGTGCAGGTAGAGGGCGAGAGAGGGAACAGAATGCAGTCAGCAACCTTTGAGTTGCTCCTTTTTATGGTGAAGAGGGCTGTTGACTGGATGAAAAAGGGCACCCCTCAGAGCTATAATGTCCAAGGGAGTCGTACGGAAGTCTATTCTATGGCCAGTAACAGTGGATGGGAGTTGATCCAGGGGTTGTGTATATCGGCTCTAGCATATCCAGCTTCAAAGCGAGACGCTGCGTCTCTCAGCCATCTGTTTTCCCGTGGCTGATAAGAGTCGAAGGGAATGCAACAAACGATGTCACCCGTAGAGGACAGGAGGGGGAATAGAATGCAGCCAGCAACCTTTGAGTTGCTTCGGGGTGCTCCTTTTTATGTTAACTGGATGAAAAAGGGCACCCCTCAAGGGAGTCGGGCTTTGGTACGGATCGAAGTCTATCGTATGCCTAGAAGCAGTGGGTGGGAGTTGATCCAGGCGTTGTGTATATCGGCTGTGGTGGGAGTTGATCCAGGCGTTGTGTATATTTGCTGTGGCATATCCAGCTTCAAAGCGATTCGCTGCGTCTCTCAACCCTCTGCTTTCCCGTGGCTAATAAGAGTCGAAGGGAACGCAAGAAACGGCGTCGCCCTACATGGAGGGTGTTCACCAGGCTAGCCGGATGTGTCCATCCGGTTAGAGGACAGAAGCGGCGAGACTCTGTGCAAATTGGAATTTTTTCATCATAGAGATTGCGTTCGAAAAATTCAAAAGTATATTTGCGGGCTTGATCTTTAACACCTGCGTTTTGGTATTTAATGTAGTGAGGAAGTTTTGAGTTGCTTAGGGGTGACCCCTCTGGGCTATAGATGTCTACGGGAGCGGGACTGTTGCACGAATCGCGGTCTATCCTTTTTGGACCATTTCGGGGACCCAGTTCCGGTGCGCTGCCGAAATACCCCATAACCACACTGACGCTTTCTTCCGGAAACTGGTTTTTGTTCCCTCCCACTTACTCATTTTATTTTCACTTGTGCCTCAAAATGCAAACTGCTGCTTCTGTTTGTTCATGAAATCAATTTCGACCCGCGAGGCGCACTTCTCTATCCTTCGTGAGGTCATTATTCCAAAATCAGAGAAGAAGTGCACTCTTTGCGGAGGCCATGATCATGGGAAACCATAATCACATTGTTAATTGAATAGGCTGTTTGGGATCACATGCTTTTGCATTTGACGAGTCTTCCAAGCTCTGCAAGATTGGGAGGCACAGGACATGTGGCATCTGAGTGCAACGGTGAGGGGGATGATGCTGATGATTTGGTGATCCAGCCACTTTCCTGCGCAGATCATTAAACCATATTAAACCGCTTGCAATCCTTTGGAATCTACGGCAAGAGAAGCATGTTCCCCTGACCTTCCAGAAGCATGTATCCCAGTACGACCAAGGAAACCTTTTCAGATTGTGTCTCTTCCCGTTTTGCGCCACAGCCACAGAAAACGATCAGCAGAGTTCACACAGAACCAACCTATCATTTGGTTATTCGCAACATGTTGTTGATCTCATACTTTTGGCGGCACACTGCCCTGAGGCCAGTACTTGTTACTCCAATTCGGCGAACTTGAGGAGCGGATGCCACCAACGTTGCCCTACAACTTTGAAAGGTGCAGCTGTATGTTTGCAGATCGTGGTACCTTGTGCAGGTCAGTGATACCTTTGCACAACAACTAGCAGCTAGAGGTTAGAAACGGACATTTCGCAGTTGCATCCAATATATTGTGAGAGTTGCAGGTGCGTAGATGATTTCGTGATCGCCTCAGACGTTTTGTCCAGCGCTGAACGCATCAAATGATAATTTGTTTTAAAGATAGTGCTTTGCGGCTTTGTGGTTTCTCCTCTAGCAGGTATTCATGTGCTTCTTTGTGGGCAATGACTTCTTGCCACACCTGCCATCTCTCAGCATCAGGGATGGAAGTATTGATCAAATGATGTCGTTGTACGCCTCTTGACTGCGAAAGTTAGATGGGTTCTTTGCCGACAAACATGTTTCCAGTTCCAGTGTGTCTTTGCAAGATTTAAGGTGGAGATCTTGCCTTCGCTGGAGGACTACCTTACCGACTGCGGGAGGACGAACCTTGTGCAAGTAGAGCAGTTCTTGGAATATCTGGGTGGCATCGAGGATCAGGCTCGCTGGTAAAACTAAGCAAAAAGGACAGTCAGACGCAATCGAACATCCTTCGACCGTCGGAGCCAATAAGCAAACATTGTTACTACTAGTAAGGCACTTGTTACTACATGTTTTCTTATGTTCAGGTCTTCAAGCATCGCTTGGAGCGAGAATCCAAGATGCGAGCAGAGAAGGAGGCAGAACGAGCGAAAGCTGCAGCAGAAGAGGCCAGCGGCTTTGCAGCTCCTTGCAGCCCGAGTTTAGGCCCTTTGCCGAGGCCAACTTTGCGCCATCAGGTGCCGAGCAGATGGGTGGCAGCCTGGCCTCCTTTGGAGGCACTTGTGTTGAACTTCAATTTGCAGCTTTTGCTGAGCCCCAAGGACTACGAGCATGTGCCGCCCGTCATTAAAGAATATGCAACATTATCTATATAGTTCCTCAAGAGACATTCGCTTGGATCTAGCCCCCTAGCAGCTTGAGGTGTATAAACCTGACATCTTCAGACTGTAAAATTTGCTGTGTGTCCCTTTGTCAGGGCAGAACGAGACCTCATTCACAGCTCCAAAAGAGGAGGCGTCTGACACCAGTGCATGGCATGCCCAGCTGCTGGCAACAATCTCAGAGCCAACGTCTTGAAGCTGGAAGCAACGCATTAGTAGTAACTTCTTGTTACTCGTAGTGATGCACTTACTAGTAGCTACTAGTAGCGTCTTGTTACTCATAGTAATGCGCTTAGCTACTAGTAGCTTCTTGTTACTAGTAGTATCTCGTAGTAATGCACTTATATAGCTACTAGTAGATTCTTGCTACTAGTAGTAATGCACTTAGCTACTAGTAGCTTCTTGCTACTAGTAGCGATGCACCTTGCTACAGTAGCTTCTTGCTTTGATACGGCTTTTGATTCATTTGTTCCTTTTACCGGCCGCTAAGGCTCAAAGTTTTTCGATGGACTTCGAGAATCTAGACAGCCAAGAACCCCCAGCCAAACGTGTGAAGCAGGAGAACGCGCTTATGAGATGAGAAATGCTTGCTTGGGTTCAGTTTCCTAAAACATCTAGGAACCAAGTGATTAGTGCTTCCGTGAGCTGTCCTACGTCCAGTCCTAGTGTGTAGTAGCTTGTTTAGTCTACTAGGCTAGCCATTACTTAATCAAGTAGGTGTCTACTTAATTGAGTAGTAGGGAGGCAGAGCGTATATTTAAGATATGCTTTTTTCATTCTGGAAAATGTGACTTGGCCAGGAATCCACACTTGACCCACCTAAGCCGAAGGAAACAAAGGCAAGGAACCGATGTGCGGCAAAATGCGCGGAAATGCCTTTGGCAACTGAGCCACTTCACCGCTCTTGAAACTTTGCGTTGAGGCAAAATCTGGCAAAGTGGTGGATCGCGAGTTTCATCTGGCGGGGGCTTTGTGAATATCAAACAAGTCTCAAAGACTTTAGAACTTGGAACCAAACATTTTGTTGACCTCTCCATTAGCAAGGACCAATCGAGTCATTAGCAAGCCAATCTGAAAAAAAATGCATCAGAGTTTGATCCTGCCCCGGAAGGCTTTGCGAGAGCGTCTGAACAACAGACAAGACTTGGGTGAAGCTATGGCTGACACTGTGCGTCTTGGAGAGGGGCCACATTGGAAGCAGCCACCAAGCTGCAGAGAAAGTGGTGGACAGGTTAGATTGTTATAGAATTCTATGATACACTTTTCCACAACATTGAGACTAAGGCGATACTACTTTGAGAAATTCAAAGTTAAGCAGGACTGCACAGAGGGGCCACAGTAGACATGCAGAGGTCGGCAAGTGTAGTGCACTGTAAGGCTGCGGTAAGATGGCAGCTTTGCACCCCAACAACATTGAGTGCAACGATACATAGATGAAGTGCTTCCCTTCCGACTGATGCGTTGCTTGAGGATGATCTCGTCGACTTCTTGCAACGAATTCGGAAAGCTTACGTGGAGGGTTTATGTTGGGTTCTGGTCTACTACTACCAGGCGAGATCCTTGGCCATATGATTATATATATATATATAAATAATGTGCACCTGATTGGAAAATTGTTTGAAGCCAAGGGGTGCCCTTCATGGACGTGGTTCTATCCGTACCACTATGCGCCAGCTGCTCAATGTCCAAAGTTAGGAAGAGTCCGCAGCCAATCTGTGCCGCTTGTGACTAGAGGCCCTTTGCGTCAGATTTGATTGGCTGCGGGAACCTCAAATGTGGCGAGATCAATTACTTCCAGTGCCTTGACTTAGCTGTTCTCACCAGCATATTGCTGTTTACAACAAATATTATGTTACTCATGTTGGACCAGAATGACAAATTCAAATAGCAACGTAGAATGGCAAGATTCTTTCAGGTTTGGGCCGTTCTGTCCGTTTTGGCAGGCCAGGACAACCCTTCCAACCTTTCCAGCAGCTCATGAGTGTATTGCCTCCTGTCAGTGCAGAAGAGGCTGCTTGGCAGATGAGAGTATCACCTCAGACCGGCCTCACAGACTTACCGGTTGGAGCACTCTAAATGATACTTAACTTAGTCTTCGTTGAACAGATCCAGAGACAGTTTGGGCAAAATGTGAGGCTGGCATTCCTGCAGCAATGCGGGAGCTCATGAAGCAAAGCTTTTCCCCGCATCTTGGCATGCAGTACACTTACACTTTACACTCCTAGCCCGAATTCCAACACACCACAAATTACAGCTTGACCCATGATGACTGGGTGATTACCTGTTCGTTAAGGCTAATTGATTTCTACCCGGTTGATTTTGGCTTGGACTTGAACGGCAAACGCTACACTTGGCAGGCAGGATGAATCTGTGCTTTTCCGACGAAACACGCTTCTTTACTGATTGAGGTCGACCATGAGTCCTTTTTGAATAAAACTACGTATGTTTTGTAGTCTGCGAGTGTGCGAGTCAGGCTGTTGTTCTTTTGCCATTCATCGACGAGCCACGGCTTTTGCGCATCTTGGCGCCTTTGCTGGCCAGACTCAAGCTTCATGAGAAGGTGGGTTCCAGATTGGAACTTCCAGATTGCTTTGCATAGCTTTGCAGTCAACCTTCAAATTCCCAGATCTTTGCTGCTTTGCCTGCAAGATGCGAAATCGACACGGAGAGATGCTGGTGTTCGGACACAAGCAGGACAAAGTGCTAAGCTCAGTCCAGGAGCCCCTAGTAGGGTCCTTGCTCCTAGTAGCGATGCCCTTTGCTCCTAGTAGCGTCCTTG